TCTTATGCTCCAACACAGTTGCACGGGGTGCAGAATAGTTTCCCCCCACTTTCGTGCAAGACATCGGGGTATTGCTTTGCCCGGTCTTTAGCAGAAATGTTCGTTGTTCATCTTGGTGTTTTCTCTCTCGTGTGAGTTCCACACGTTCACTCTATGGTGTTGTTTACCTTCTGTGATGCGCGAGCTGATGACATCGCGTCATCATCATTATCATCATTATCATCATCATCATCATCACTACTTCACGTGAAGACGAGTTAACTTTTTTTTCTTCTCAACTTTGTGTGGAAAAATGCGGGGATTATGCGCCCTTTTAATAAATATGCGCCTTTTTAAAAATCTGCGCCATTTTACTGATTATGCGGTAAATTATGCGATCGCATCATCGCGTTTTTCTGGAGGGTCTACCTATTTCCTGTGATTGTCAAACAATGAGATAAACTGAGCATCAATGACGGTGTCAAATATGCATTTTGATGATGAGGTGTTGCTATTCAATATTATCACAAAGGCAAATACAAAGAGAAGTAGGAGATATTTGTGCTTTTAAAAAATGATTGGTGGTGCTGTCCCTACGGAGTCACGAAATGTCCAATTATTGTACGAACTTGTATTGTATTGTAATCAAAAAGCATCTGCATTCATTCAGAAGGGGTTTCCAGCAAGAAGCAAACAAGATGCCCCCAAAAATAGGCTCATCTTGGTATCAGATGTTTCCCCTGAGAGTGTTTGGACATTGTTGCCTCAGTTTTCCCCATACTGCCATTAAATCCCAGCATGTGGTTCCACTCAGAGTATAATGTGTGTGATTTACCCACAATATGATAGTGGAGGAAGGCCTAACAGCTCGGCCCTCTCCACCATTCACCTCTCTCACCTCAGCACATGATCTCATGCTATAGATCTGCTGGTGGGGGACTTGCTTCAGGGCTTTGAGCCCCACAGGATGCATTCATGAAGATAAAATGTTCTATAACCAAATCTAAGTTCCGTGATGTACGCATTATGATATTACATTTATATCTTTCATATAAAGTAGATCCATTATTCCCATCGGGGGTCTCAAGTTATATTTTACATTTGCATCCACTTGATCCCTAAGGTCTTGATCATCTTTTCCACCTAATGTGTGCAGAAGACAAAAAAAAACAACCTGAAAACTCACAGGAGGTAAAAGTGATGCTCAGGAAAGCCAGGCGAATCCAAACTGCAGTGAAGATTTGGTGTAGAAAACCAAAATGGGATTTAATTTGGGTTTCGATCAACGTCCTTAAACATGTAGGATCATGAACCTGAAACTGATTGTGTAGTCAGATATAAAGTAGAACCTTTTTGTAAATATAATAGCTTGACCCCGTTTGTATGGCTTGTTTGCACTCATAACCGCTAACACTGTTTTACTTTTGTTCGACATGATAAAGACATTTAACATATTCAATCGTCAGGACGAAGACATTTAAAGTCTCTCTTGCCTCCTTCTGAAAAAGCTACGGTCGGCAGATTTAAAAAACATCTTGAGGAGCCACTCAATTTCCAAATCCACAACAAATGACTGACAATCAGCCTTACTCTTGTATATGAGAAACGGATGTCGGCATTATTTACACCCTTGTGCTTTCTCCATTGGCAGTGAGTGGGAAAGTGACTGTGTGGACTTTTCCAAGCATGTGAGTGTTGGCACTGACCAGATGGATTGCGTTGTGATTTGAAATGCAAGCATGATGGCTGCCAGGGATCAGGCCTTCCCTATATGCTGTAAGTCTTGACAGAGAAATACCAGAAGGTTTTTTTAATACTGGCTGATTAGAACATATCGCCTTTGAGGTTTCCATGGAGAGGAAGGAAACATTCCCAGGGTGCAGTATATGTGGGGAGTGAGTGTGTAATAAACAGTCTTTATACAGCCTTTAGTCTGCCCTGATGATTTACCTGCCTGCTATCATGAGTACTGAGCAAATCCTGGGCTGTTCTACACACTGGTTATCAGATTATTTTCTCAAGGAAGTATGCAGTTGCTGTCATATATATACCCAGAGATACAACTCATGTCACACAAAGCAAGAAACAGGTAATGTTGCAAACATTTCAATTAATTTGTTAATGTGAAGGATTTTTAACATGATTAAACTGATTAAACTTCACACATCGACCTACAATCTTATTTAAGAATAGTTATTAACTTAAATTTAGACAGTTATTCTTACAAATGACTTGCTATGAAATGGTTAATGACTGCATGCACTGTAGGGTAATGTAATCATCACAGATCTCTCTGTTAAGGGTAAGGTTCCACTATCAACAAATCTTTTTATGTCAGCTGACATGCTTGACTAGAAACATGTCTAGGTCCACCAATAATATCTTCTCACGCAAAGACAAACCCGCATCAATCAAGCTGTCAGCTCCACAGTATAGTGACCTTCATCTACAGAAATGCTCTCAGATGTGGACTCTTGGTCATCAGGTTTAAAAAAGCGCCAGTGTTTTGCTTTTGCCCGCTTTTCCCTTTTGTGAATGCACTTGTAATTACACAGCATCCTGTCAGATGAGTGACAAAGTGACCCAGACAAAAAAAAAGGAAAACATTTAAACCTACAGGGAATGGGACACACTGTAAAAGGGAAGCGCGTATGTATATGTTGGCAAAGAAAAGCATGCAACAATGCAATTTCATAAAAATCCATTAGGTTCTTTCTCAAGACCGTTTGTTTGAGGAGTGACTTTTATTGGCAACAAATAAGTACAGATGCGGACAGCTTTCCACCTCCTTCAGACATAAAACATCCAGTACAATGATTTAAGTCTGTGGATAGTCTGTGAAATGTTCAGTGTGTCTCACAATACAATTATCAACCCCATTATGACGTTACATCTAAAGTACCAATCACAAACAAATGTTCAAAAGGAAGCCAGCAGCAGGTTAGCTCATTAGCTCAATATAAACACTATAAACGGATAGCCTAGGGTTTCCTAAGGTAACAAATTGAGCTATCAGCGTCTCTTAAATTCACAAATGAGCAATATTTCTTTGTTTTATTTACACAAAAACTGGAGTTTAAAAACATATACGCTTTGGATGTGCTAGTATTTTTGATTTATTAGCCTCAGACAGCCAGGCTAGCTGATACAGGCTATCAAAACTAACCATCCCTTAGCCGTAATTTAATATTAAACGGACATATAATGCTATAAATAGCCTCTTCTACCTCTCAGAAAGAAAGTGTAATTGACAAAATGTTGCCTATAAAAATCCTTCATGTGACAGATGCCATACTTAAGGGTCAGCAGGTGTTTTTAACTTAGCCAGCTAAAATCATGATTCAAATTAATCTCAGAGCCATTTTGTGATTAACTAAGAATACTATGCTGGTAAAATTGGTGAACCATTGGGATTAAGCTTGATATGCTGTTAACAAGTTAAACATGTTACCAGTTAGTTACTGTCTATGTCTGTCTGCCTTTTAGTATTGAGCATGTAGTGTACTGTTCCTTTTTAAAGGTTTTTCACTTTTTAAGTCTAAAGAAAAAGATTCCTAACGTCAAAATAGAACAGAAAACTGTAAACCTGTGGACTGGATAGCTAAATTATGAGTAGAAACACAAAAATACAATAATTAAAGCTCCATAAGACCACGTTGAGCTGAACATTTGTGAAAAGTGATCTGTAGGTTCATCACCACGAGACCTTATTTATATTGTCTTCATTGCGTCCATTGGTACATTTATTGAACATCTCGATCATAGCTGCTCTAATAAATAATTCTATATATGACTTGATGATTCCTTATTCAGCGTGCACATCCTGAAAGGTATGTAGACATTTATGAAAGGTATTCCCTTGTTTATCTTCTCATTGAGTAGAAGTAATGTGAGCGTTGGGAACAAACGCAGAGCAATCACAGCTGCCGTTGTACAGATGATCGGACCAAAGAAGGAACTGCTGGGTGACAAGGGAGTTCAGCATTGCAGCAGAGCGCTGGGTATCTGAGCTGAATCGCATGAAAGGCATTTGCCTGATTGTTCTTCTCCAGTGCACTGGCTCAAGTAACACTGTGATAGCCATCTATTATTTTTGTTTATTACTTGAGTCAAATGGAGGGCATTTAATTCCTGTTCTTTAGAGTTGGGTGCCTCATGCTCTGTGCTCTGCAACCACAAACTGTTTTACAAATAAACCTTTTGAGACTTTTAGATATGAAGTGAAGATGAAGAAGAAAGTGACGAAAAAGAAAGATAAACGTAATAAAACAGTCTCATAATCTAATTTTTTACTGCAAAGCTTGTGCCTAAATGTCTGACACAACCCGTTGTTGAGCCTTGGAAGTGTGTGTTTGAAGCCAGCAGTGGAAAGCCTTTCAGTGTTGACACATTCAAATGACAGATACAGTTAATGACTTAACAAGCTTAGTGGAGCTGCTACATTCAACACAACCTCAGTGACATTAAAGAATAAGGACTGGATGGTCATCACATACTTTTACTCTTCCAGTTAACACTGTGAATGCCAAAACATCTTGTTGGGGTTTTAACACTCTCTGATGCAGGAGTAGTTATTTTTCACGTGTTTATACGGGTATATAGGTTACAAAGTATGTGTGTGATTATTTGCATATGTGTGTGTGACTCTATTAGGGTAGTGATCCTTTATGGGGCTTTAGCGCACAGACACACTTTTCGACTCCTCCCCTCTCCCTTCAGTCAGGGTGTGATTAGAGCCAATACAATCTTGGCCAACCTGCAGTGAAAGAGAGTGTGTGTGTATACAGTATGTGCGTGTGTGCGTGTGTGTGTGTGTGTGTGTGTGTGTGTGTGTGTGTGTGTGTGTGTCTGTGCAAGAGAGAGCTAGAGCTAGAGAGAGAGAGAGCACCGGAGAGAGGCGAGAGAGATGAGAGGAGACGAGAGCAAGAGAGAGAGGAGAAGCGCTGAGAGAGAGAGAGAGGAGAGAGCGAGAGAGAGAGAGAGAGGAGAGAGAGGATGAGAGAGAGAGGAGAGAGGAGAGAGAGAGAGAGAGAGCAAAAGGGTAGCCACTCTGGTGCACTCTGGTGGTTCTTCTCCAACGGCGTCACTGTTGCTTGGTCTCCAACAGTCCACACTGTGGCATTGTAGCTCCTGCAAGCTTCAGCGAAAACACAGCAAACTCCGCAAGTCCCAGTGGATTTATCTAAATGGACACGTCCGGATAACTTTACTTCTGAAAGTCTTTTTTGCTTTATGTTAACGCTTCTCGGATTCGTGAAAGTGCTGTCACTACTTGAACTAATATTGTTTTCAGCTTTTGTGGACACTTGTGGATACATCTTTTTTAGAGAAACCTGCTTTGGTTGCCCGCACCAGAAGAACTTGCACTAAAAAAACAATCTTGGTCATCACATCTGGAAACATGGAAAGCCACTACTGCCTTTTGAACACAGCCAAACAGGACTCCCAAGCTGTGAAATGTAAGCAGCAACTGCAAAGTCAAGAATAACTATTATCGAGTGAGCAGATTTATGATGCTTGTAAGGAAAGCAGATTCTTCAGTTTTGTTAACGTGAGAAAAAACAACCTGTAGCTTATTATAATGGATGGCAACTTGAGCACTCTTGCCTCCTATGTGCTCAACAGTACTGATCCGTACCACGATGCGGTGGGCCCCTGGAGCCTCATCGTTCTGGTCATCATCATACTGACCATAGTGGTAGGAAACCTGCTGGTGATCATCGCTGTAGCTCGTACTTCACAGCTACAGACGACCACAAACATTTTCATTATGTCCCTGGCGTGTGCTGACCTCATCATGGGGGTCCTCGTAGTGCCTCTGGGGGGCACTATAGTGGTGACGGGAAACTGGCAGCTCAGTGACACGTTCTGTGAGTTCTGGACCTCTGTGGACGTCCTGTGTGTGACGGCGAGCATCGAGACGCTCTGCATCATAGCAGTGGATCGATATATAGCCATCACGAGGCCTCTCAGGCACAAAGTTCTCCTCAATAAGTGGCGTGCCAGGGTAATAGTTTGCCTAGTGTGGGTAGTGTCCGCTCTAATTTCCTTTGTACCGATTATGAAAGGGTATTGGAGAGATGATGACAAGGAGGCAAAAAGTGCTACAATACCACTACATGCTGTGACTTTGTGACCAACAGGGCCTTTGCTATTATATCTTCTATCGTGTCTTTTTATATTCCACTGCTCATAATGATATTTGTTTATGCAAAAGTTTTTCTAATAGCCACACGGCAGGTTCAGCTCATAGATAAGAATCGCCTGCGTTTCCAGAATGATTGTCTAACAGCGCAGGTTAGCCCCTACATCAACAATATCCTGCCAAACGCGTGTCCAGCCCCAAGCACCTTGCAGAGAAAGAGCGCCAAGCGGCGGCCGTCACGGCTGATGCTCGTCAAAGAGCACAAGGCCCTGAAGACCTTAGGGATCATCATGGGGACCTTCACTGTGTGCTGGCTGCCGTTCTTTGTGGCCAACATCATCAACGCATTTGAAAGAGATATTCCCTCAGAGAAGATCTTCAGACTCTTAAACTGGCTGGGTTACATCAACTCTGGCCTCAATCCTATCATCTACTGCAGGAGTCCGGAGTTTCGCACCGCGTTCAAGAACCTGCTGGGATGTCCGTGGCTGCTGTCCACCCTGCGGCCAAATAGTTTTTATAAAGAGCTGAGGACTCGCTGCTCCTGCTTCCTATGGCAGGCTGAGGCGGGGCACAGCCAGCTCTTTCCAGAAGTCTCCGAAGAGTAAGAGCGATGGCTGTGAGAGTCTGGGCAGCAGTATTGGAAGCAGAAAAAGTGACAAGGCTTCCCCTGGTGCTCTGCGCTCCAATGGAAGCACACAGTTCAGCCGAATTATCAGAACCAGAAACCACATTGTAAGTACCCTTTTTCTTGTCTTATTTGACCTACAGTCACCTATTTTTAAGTATGAGGAATGTTTCAAAAATGTCAATTTTCAACAAACTACATACTTGCTTGGGTAAAATCTCCATAATCATATTTTGGAGAGAATTAAGTGAATCATTTTGACAGCTTATGCACAGACGGACATCATAGACAATGACACATGCAACATCATGATAAATGCAACATTGGCATGCAAATTCAAACTCAGTTTTTTAACATTTTAGATTTAGATTAGATCAGTTATATTAAAGTAATAGGATAATTCAATTAAATATATTTAAACGTATACACAATACTACATTTTGAAATCTCAGTGCGTCTTACTTGAGAGTAACTAATAGACCTTCGATCAAACCTTAATTATTTCAAGGGCAGTGGGGTGATTCAGAGAGTGTGAATGTGGACACTGGGTTTAAACTTTGTCCTTAGTTGCCTTTCTTCTTTCCTTTATTACACTCTGATTTAAGGTGTTAAGTCTTACTTCAGTGGTTTACCATGTGTCATGTGAGCAGATGATTTGCATTGTGAAGCAGAAATGTCAAGACTAACAGAATCAGTGTAATGAAGAATTAAACAATTTCCATTACTTTCTGCTTCCGGACATCATGTTGCAGATTAGCCAAAACATGTCTGATCGTGTGCTTGTTTCAGTTTGATGAGAACTACTGCCAACACAATATTAACAAGCAAATAGGATCAAGGAAAGTGATATGTTATGAATGACTACAACAAAATCTGTATAAAAAAAAGAAAATCAGGAAAATGTTACATTTCCAACAAATTTCAAGAAGAGTTAACATTTACGTGTTCATTAATTATCAATACATTTGTCCTTTTACGAAATGATTATCCATTATTGGCTTGTTAAGGTTGACCACTACTCTATGTATCAACTCATCCCCTTAATGTTCACTGTATTTATCGTTATGTGCAGTATTACCACCGATGCCATAGAGTGCCACAGTGACGCGTCCTAAAACCCGGAAGTAAGTTAGCATTTTTACCACTTCCGGTTCCTTCGCCATAAAGCAATGCAATTTCTCCACAAGATTTTGGAAAATAGCTCGAAATAAGGTCTGTGGTTGACACAAATTGAAGAGACAGATCACGTTTTGTTCTACGACATTAAATACATCAGCAGTGACCCCACTGGTGATTTTTATAGAACTTACGTGTCTGAAAAACGATGGTTGTTAAAATGTGGCTGAATAGGACTACAGAAGTTGTACGTTATTACACCGAACACGTAAACACTCCCGCTAAGTTTGTTTTTCCCCGTGTTCTGCTTGAAAGCAAGTACCTGCCTCCTGCAAACTGTTCAAACAAACGCTTCAACTTGTAACATTTTGAATATGTATTTTTGAATATGGATCTAAAGTTGGCGTGACGTTGAAGCAGCGACCCTGCTGTAGTTTGTTTATAGCATAACGTTAGCATTTTGCTTCTGGCGACTAGATTTATGATTAGAAAATTATAAAAGTAGGATAGACATGTGGAGATTATCCGGCTGAACCAAATGTGACCCGTCTCTTAAATGTGTGTCAACCACAGACCTGATTTCGAGCTATTTTCCAAAATCCTATGGAGAAATTGCTTTTTTGTCGAAGGAACCGGAAGGAGTTTACTTCCGGTTTTAGGACGCGTCACTGCGGCACTCTATTAACTTAGCATCTGAGAAGTGAAAACGGTCCAATCACTGTAGATACAAATCTGGATATTCTTTATACTGTAACCACTTTGCATTTGAGCATAAATCCATATTCTGATATATTGTAATGCAGCGGTTTTCAAAGTGTGAGGCGGAGAAAAAAAAACGTGAGGAAAAAAACGAGAAACAGTGAAATCTAGCTAGTTAACTTCAGCAAACTTTATGCAAGCGGCAACATGGATCGATTTTTTGTGAAGTTACCTGAAGTGAGCGAGGAGACAGCGTGGCAGAAAACGGAGGAAGTATGACCACGATTATTTGAAGCTAGGATTTGGCAGGTCCTGGCAGGGGCGGACTGCCCATCTGTGTGTTCTGGAGAATCACAGAACAGCCGGTCTTCAGTGGGCCGTTGGCGGCCGGCTCGGTTCGCTGAAGGCTGGCACCGCCCTTTATTTTAATTTGAATAATACTTACTTTGATCAAAAGCAAGTACCGGTCAAGGCTGCAGCCAGAGGATGATCTGCGTTTATTCCTGTCTACATTGCATCCCCGCATCATCCGCCTGTGCGCATCAAAGACGCAGACTCATTGTTCCCACTAAAGTAGGGGTGAGTGTAAGGAGGCAAAGTTGACGTTCAGTGTGTTGCCGGGAGCATATAAGGGTTTATCCACGATGTTGAAAGTGTTAAAAAATGTAAAAAAAAAACTTTATAACATAAAGATAAAAAGGTTTTAAAAAATTGTAGTTTAATAATTGGGAGGGGGGGGGCGCGGCTGTTCTTATGTTCTCTGAGGGGAGGCTCACCTTCCCACACTTTGAATACCCCTGATCTAATGCATTCAATTAAATAATTTGCAGTGGAGCAGAACAGGCAGGGCAGGGTTGCTTTCACTTACTGTACGGCGGCTAAATCACTAAATCACTGGTATCTTTTTATTTATAAAGCAATGTTAGGGAAACTTCCGTCTTACATCTGTTCCCTGATCTCACAGCGTATTGTAAATGGCTACTGTCTGAGATCTAAAGCTGTGGTTGTATTACATGTGCCAACTGCTAGGACTGTATTAGGAAATACAGCTTTTAGATGCGCAGCGCCGCTAGCATGGAACAGTCTACAAAAGGAATGGAAGCTAAGCAGTTTGATTCCATTTCATGTTTTTAAAGCTAGGATAGACGCTATACAATCAGAAAATATTGGTGTCTGTAAATGCTACTAGTATACAAACTGTAGTATCATATAATGTCCTTTGTTTTCTGTCATGTTTGTATTAATGTTTGGAACTAATTGAAGCAGGTCACCATTGTAAAAGAGGTCTATGATCTCAATGGGTTTTATCTGTATAAATAAAGGTTTTGAATTGAATTGAATTGAACAGAGACAAAAACATTTCTGAAGAGTTGGGTTGCAGTGGAATAGTCCATTTAGCTTTAACCTTCCTAACAGAGTGAAATGACCCAGAAGTCCCTCATTGGCAGCCATGACAAGTGCTGTTCGAATTCTCTAGATGATAGGAAAGGAGGTTTCAAATTTCCTTTATAACCTCCTTTAGCTTAGGAACCACTGGACCTCCCTTTATGAAAGGAGAGGAGAAAGTGCTGCCCCACAATGCATTGCAGCCGCAGCATTTGCCGTCACACAACATTCGGCCATTCACGGAAAACAACCGATTATGACCGAGAAATTATATCATGAAAGTTACGGTGCTTATTAAGCATTTTAAAACGGTAAGTTGCCAAAGTGCTTTGTTTTGAACGTTCATCAGTATTATAATCAAAAAGAGAAATATGAACGTTAGTTTTTACTGAAATGATCAAATAAAGTCAACATTTCACAGTCTTTACTGAGCTGTGTGGGGTTGTTCAACTTTTAAAAGATGTTTGAATGGTGATATACACAGTGATAGGTGTTAAGGACTAACGTTTATAATAAATACATTTGTATTGATTTTAAGATATTTTAATAGTTCATACAATCATACGTATTGGGATCATTTGTATTAATGTGGACCGGGGGGAGAGGGTGACGAGCATAAGTTTCACTTTCCTTTTTTATTTCAATTCCAACTTTGGTCATGAAGAATATGTTTCTCTGTTGTCCACGTTCATAAAGCATAAAGCAACAGCATCAGAGCACGGTGCAGAGTCTCTAGATGAGTCCCTCGTTCTTATTAAACATCCATGTTGTAGTCCGCTGTATAGAAAACTGTAGTTTCCATAGTTTCCCCACAGCAGCAGACGCACATTTATGACGTTCGCTGGCGCATCATAAACACGTCGGATAGCGAAAGTGCATTCGGATTCTCTAAAGTACCGCGGTCTCTTCTCCTAAGTCCTTTTGAATTCTCCTATCCACTATCCCTTAACCCCGTGACGTTTCACTCAGAGGTCAAGGAATAGGAGATAGGGTTAGACGTGAGGAGCTGATTTTTGGACTATTCGACTGCAACCTTGGCGTCTGATACTGTAGGGTGTCACAATACTACAAAACTAAAAGGGACATTTCATATCTTGAATTATTAATGCAAGTATAAATAATCATCTGATGTATTAACCTGCTCTTGGATACCTTTTATCCATCTATGAATCCATCTGATGTTATGCAGTTATAGTATCATTGGTAGTGTGTTTGGGTTGGTTTCTAGCATTCATCAGGAAGCAATATAATTATTACATGTGTAGTTTCTAGGAAAAAAACACTTCTGTAAATCATTATCTGGTAAGTGTCCAATATTGATAATGTAGATGAGTGTGACGTGGCTGTGTAAAACCACTGAGGGGTGTGACTTTTGAGGACATTTCCAAATGAGTGTGTCTCTATGTCTTTCGGAGGGCCTCAGTGGGCCCGCCCAACACCCCCTGCAGCAGATAAATCGTTATCACTCACACACAAGACTTCCCCTTTAACTCAAGAGGCTGTTTACAAGAATCTCAGCCAATGAGAACGCCTTGTTAACACAGGTTAAGTAGGGTTGGTGCAATATAAGTTGACACAGGGCTTTCCATTGAATACACACTTATACGTAATAATAGTAATTAGGAGCTTTGCTGGAAAGTCTTGACATATACAAGCTTTTTAAAGAGCTGTATCTATTAAGTAAATGCCAGCCTATCTACATGTATGAGTATACATTTGTGGCATTTACATAACATTTAGAATATTGTTTTCATTAGTGGATTTTGTGCTCTTTTATTAACTTTATTAAAAACAAAAATGTAATAACTTATCATAATAACTAAACATTTATTCAGATATGATCTACTTAAGCAATAGCTCACGACAGGCCGTGGTATATGCTCATTATATCACAGCGGACCGAACC